AGACGATAATAGCAGAACTCACAGTTGTACTGCTCAAAGGTGACGCTAATCTGATGCAGGCCGGGAAAGCAGTGGGCCAGGTGAACCGCCTCCACGGCATTGACGTGGTAGGTGCTGGTGATATCCAAGAAACAGACGCGCACCGTGGGCAGGACGGGCATCAGCTTCCGATCCAAAAGAGGAGTTTTACCACGGGTCTTGATGACCACCGTTTTGAGTTTCGGCAGTTTGGCCAGTGCAGTGAGCACACGAGGGTACCACTTTGCATCAGTTTTACTTTCAGACAAACCGATGCGCACCTTCTTCAAATTGGTCAGCAATGGCAACATCTGAAGGTGCAAATTGGCTACCATGCCCTCCCCTTCGTCTTCGTCTTCGTCTTCCTCCTCGTCCTCTTCCTCTTCTTCTTCGGCCTTAAACTGATCAATGTCCAGACTAGTTACGCAGGCCAGTGCCTGGTGGTATTCACCAGGCGCCCACCGCAGAAAATTGAAGACAAAGTCAGGAATACGGAGTGCAATCTGCAGTGATGAGGAAGAGTTGTCGATGGCAGCAGCTGCAGTAGCCAGATGGGCATCGGCGAAACGGAGGAAGTGCTCCTTGACAAATCGCAACACGTNCGCAGAAAATTGAAGACAAAGTCAGGAATACGGAGGGCAATCTGCAGTGATGAGGAGGAGTTGTCGATGGCAGCAGCAGCAGTAACCAGATGGGCATCGGCGAAACGGAGGAAGTGCTCTTTGACAAATCGCAACACGTTTTTTGGACTGCGGCTCCCAGCGTACAGACGAAAAGAGGTCAGCTGTGAGAACACCACGTCAAAAAGTGACAAGTTGAGGAAAAGCTGGCCGATTGGAAATATTTCGTCATTGTCCAGGTACAGCGTCAGATGTTTCAAAGCGGGCAGATGCAGCGGTTCCAGCATCTTTTTGTTCGCTCTCATCTTCTCGTCAATGGCCAGCGTGAGCGCCTGCAGACGGCCACTGAGCAGCGGAGAGGAGCGCAGAGCGGTGAGCAGGGGAGAGAACGTCCATTTACTGACGCTTCCGTCCGCCACCTCCAGGCTGACCAGATTGGGCAGACGGGCAAAGAGCTGAGTGAAGAAGGTTGTGATCTTTTCTGCAGTAGTGCTGTCCAGATCGGGCAGAGCCACCGAGCAGTGATTGGCCTTGGTCAGCTTATCAGCGGCAGTAGCCTCAAAGGTGTGCTTCAAACGTAGCTTGTCTGCATATTTTGAGTGGTAGATTTCCAGTGATCGACGGTCGGTGCAGCTCTTCAGGTAGAGCCCGTACAGTCGGCGACAAGTGCTGCCCAGGTGGAGGGCGTCTTCCAGGGGAAGTATTTGGGCAAAAAGGAGCGGTAAAACGTCGTCGTTCAAAACACGGAGAAGAAGTGACTGCTCTTTCTCTTGCTGCTCTTGGACATTGCCTTCATCCACTCCATCAGTGATTTTAGCTTTCTTTTTCGTTTGAGCACCATTGCAGTCTTCACTCATTCTTGGCAAAGGAGTTGTGGTGGTGATTGTAGGAGCGTTGACCAGAGATAAGTGAGCTTCAGGAGTAGCACACAGTGGAAGAGGCAATGAAAATAAGCAAGAGCGTTGCAAAACAGAGAAGGCGTTTGACTAAATGAATGAGCTGGCACTTCTGCTATATTCTACTGAAAATCTCATATTGGTGACGTGGACTTTGTTTACAAAAAGTTCGAAACCTGTTGTACAACGTGTTTGTTTCACTGTTCGCATTTCTATTGTTACCAGCCATTGCTCTGCCTGTTTTGAATGCGATTTACTCTCAGTAATACTGAATTCANTGACTAAATGAATGAGCTGGCACTTCTGCTATATTCTACTGAAAATCTCATATTGGTGACGTGGACTTTGTTTACAAAAAGTTCGAAACCTGTTGTACAACGTGTTTGTTTCACTGTTCGCATTTCTATTGTTACCAGCCATTGCTCTGCCTGTTTTGAATGCGATTTACTCTCAGTAATACTGAATTCAGATACTAAAACGTGGGCATTTGTAAAAATCATCTAACTAAAAAATGTGAGGATTTTTACTGCTAAAATTGACTTAGCTAAAGTTGATAAAGTAGCAGCCACCAGGCAACAAAGTGACTATTTCTCGTACAGTTTTCACCAACAGACTGTAAACTGTTCAGTTTGTTGTTGTTTCGCTGCACGACATCTGAAAAAACCAAACACTGCCTGAATGGGCACTTCTATTTTGATCACTTTTTCTGATTCTAGACAATATAAAAATAGTACCAGTAAGACTGTCTTTCTCGATGAATCTACTTTGCACCGAGTCCACTGCCACCAACACCGCCGCATCATCTCATATCTCGTCGTCTTCTGCTAATTTCCAATTCAATCTGTCGCCAAGAGAAGAGAACAAGACGTTTGTACACTTGTGCCTGCTTTTCCTGTTGTGTCACATGTTTCTCGCCAAAACAGAAGCAGCAGCAAAAGTAGTAGTTTCCAAGTGCATCCAGAGTGTTTCGATTTCTTTCACTTTGAGTTTCCTCTCTCTCTCTCTCTCTCTCTCTCTCTCTCTCTCTCTCNCTCTCTCTCTCTCTCTCCAGTCTTTTTACAGACCGGTTTCCTTCTGTCCACAAAGTGGACTTTACTGAAGCATCAGCAGTAGCAGCAGCAGGACAGGCGTCACAACACACTCACTAAGAAAGTCAAAGAATGCATGTAGAGAAATTGGTTATGCCATCCTGAACATGATGCTGATGCTGTGATTGATGCCAGGTGACTGATAGGCCAGCCGGCCAGAAATGAAGACGATCGTTCATCTGATAATGCATGTTGCGCATCTTCATCTTCATCTTCGGCAGCAGTAGTTTCGCCGAAGCAGCTCAAACTGGAGAGAAAGGTGGCGTAAGGGGGAACAAGTGGTGGTAGCAAAGTTGCTGGAACTAGTAAAGACTTGCCATGGCGTGTTCGAGATTGCTAGTAGTTTCCATCATCTCCAACACCACCACCACCACCACCACCATCTTCAGCAGCAGCAGCAGCAGCTCACGAGAGTACTCACGAGACTGGCTCGTGGTTCTGCAGCTGCTGGTGATGCCACTTCTTCTTCAAATCTTTCTGCCACTGCCTCCTCCTGCACCCTCGATCTCCAACAGTTGCAGTAGTTCTGCTTCTTCGACAGACCGTCACACTACCTTGACCACTTGATGATGATGATCGTCATAATATTCTGTCTGCCTGTCTACCTCTGCAGGACTTTTCCAATACTGTGAAATGTGAAGGCACAACAGCTGCTGCTTTTTTTCTGTTCTTGTGACCTCTTAATGTTTTGAACTCCTCAAATGTGACCCAGAACTAAACACGTTTTGTGCCCTTTTCTGAGCTTTACAAAATTTCATATTTTTTTGTCGTACATTTGTGATACCAACTGTAATAAAAAAAATTATCAATTTAGATTAGTGTTCAATGTTTAAAGAAAGTGCGTTGATTTGTGTAAATAAAATATAACTAAACATCCGAAATTCTTCTGCACCAATGGCCTCTGATGACACTGTGGCAATGTCAAATGGACATGCGACATGCAGCAATGGCAACAGCAGCAGCAGCAACAACAACAACAACAACATCCCCGGAAAGGCCGAGTACCGTCGTGAGTGGGCGATAAAGGCCTCCCCAAAAGCGCTGGGCACCGTCAATCCCATTCGCAGCATCGTCGAGGGCCTCAACCTGACGCCCAACCCGGAGAAGCCCTTCATTCCGCTGTCCATTGGTGAGTGGGCATTTAATCGACACGTTTTTCTCACCTAAAAACGTCTTTCCCCAAAAACAGGCGACCCGACGTTGTTCGGCGACTTCAAGCCCTGTCGGGAGATCACCGATGCGGTGACGGCGGCCATACAGTCGGAGAAGTGCAATGGCTACCAGCCGTCGGCCGGGCGCGAGGACGCCCGCACCGCCATCGCCGAGTACTGCGCCGCCTATGGCATGAACGTCGACGCCAAGGTCGGGAAAATGCTCCTCTTTGCTCTTTCTTTTTAACTGCAGCCGCCGTACCTTTCATTGACTTTTGGATAGAGCGTAAAGTAAAGTGAGCTAGCTCTCGGAGACGGATGCTTCAGGGGACAAACGCGCGCGCATTAGATCTGCCTGCCCCTCAGTATCAGTATCAGCAGTGAGCAGTGAATTGCCACTTGAGATGGGGCATTCCTTCTGATTTTCATCTTCATTGACTTGAAAATGAAGTTGACACTGGAGAGAGATGGAGAGAGTGAGAGGATGACGCCACACACACGACTTGCCGACACTCTTTGCCTTGAGGGATGCCTGCAGATCTGATGGGGATACTTTTGCTACGGCTGCACTCTCATTTTAGCCAGCTAAAAAGCTGCAACACTAGCCATCATTGAGGGAATCCTATTTGTAATTCTAAGATGCGCTGATAGGAGAAATAGCACTAGCGCCTGCATTAGCAACAGAGACCAACAGAGGCTGCTGCCCTTGGAAAAATACTGCTGATTTAGCAAAAAGCAAAACGTATAGATGAGTAGTGTTTAGTGCATGAAAAAGAAAGAAAGAAAACCTACTGCGACTTTCCCAACTTTTCAATAATTCAATTACTCATCTTATCACTTTTATTATCACCACCATCACCACCACAGGACATTATCATCACCTCTGGCTGCTCTCACGCACTCGATCTGGCGCTGACCGTGCTGGCCAGCCCCGGCAGCAACGTCCTCGTCCCTCGCCCCGGCTTTCCCCTCTACAAAACGCTGTCCACCCTGCTGGGCATTGAAATCCGCTACTACAACCTCCTGCCGGAGCGCAGCTGGCAGATTGACCTGGAGGACCTGGAGGCGAAGATTGACGACCGTACCAGCGCCATCATCTACAACAATCCCTCCAATCCCTGCGGATCGGTCTTCCCGAGGTCGCACATTGTCGACTTTGTGGCGGTCGCCGAGCGGCACCGCCTGCCCATCATCGGCGATGAGATCTACGAGGATCTGGTCTTCTCCGGCAGCCAGTTCCATGCAGTCGCTTCGCTCAGCGAGGAGGTGCCCGTCCTCCACTGCAGTGGCACTACCAAAAAGTAAACAGTTTAGACAGGGTTTGGAATGATTTTTACACAATTTTTTTCACTTCTGTGCGGCAGATTTCTTGTGCCGGGCTGGAGAATCGGCTGGATTGCCATCAACGACCGGAAGGGCCGTTTTGGGAAGGATGTAAGTGTCAGGGGATTAGGTAGCGAAAAAAAACAACAAAAGCTAACTTTTCCAAATCCATCAAATCTAGGTCCGCTCAGCCCTAAACTCCCTCTCGCAGCGCATCATTGGCGCCAACACCGTCATCCAAGGGGCCCTGCCGGACATTCTGAAGAAGACGCCGCGCAGCTTTTTCGAGGACACCATTGCCTACATTGAGGTAAACAAAGAAAATAGATCAACAACAACAAACCTCAATTCTTTCCACTTTTCCTTCTACAGAGAAACGCCGTACAGGCGTACAGCAANCTTCGAGGACACCATCGCTTACATTGAGGTAAACAAAGAAAATATATCAACAACAACAAATCTCAATTCTTTCCACTTTTCCTTCTACAGAGAAACGCCGTACAGGCGTACAGCAAGCTGAAGCGCATTCCCGGCTTGACGCCCATTCAGCCCTCCGGCGCCTTCTACATAATGGTGCGCATCGAGGTGACGCGCTTTCCCCACTTCCGCAGCGACCTCCACTTTGTGGAGTCGCTGGTCGCCGAAGAGTCGGTCTTCTGTCTGCCGGGCAACTGCTTCGAGTACCCGGGCTACGTCCGCCTGGTGCTCGCCATCTCCAATGACATGCTCGAGGAGGCGCTGGCTCGAATTGATGCCTTCTGTACTAGGTATTACGTCTAAACAGTTAAAAGTTATGAAGAAATGAGATGAACTTCTATTGCGAGCACAAGTGACAATGGCGGACGAGAGATGCCGCCACCGCCACCACTGTTGGAGAAAAATTACAAAATGCCACTTGCTACGAAACTCAGAGTGCTGGTTCAAAAAAGATTATCACGAGTATCCCCTTACCACACGCACACTCGCACGCACATACACACAAACAGAAAACTGTGCTACCAAAACTGTTTTGTTTTACTTTGTCAAATAAAGCCTACTACCACCACCTCTGTCATTTGCCTAAAAGCCACAGCAAAGTGATTTGGTTCAGAGAATGGAAGTGAGTGCTGCTGCATCGTGATTGACAGCGACGCCAGCCTCAGTTAGTCTGTCCCAGTCTGGAGAGCTCATCTGTCACCAAATGGCGAGCATGAATGAATGAAATGGAAGTGGAAGATTCAGTGAGCAGTCTGGGTCAGAGACGGGTAATTAATTGGAGCTAGTAAGTGTAGCACTACTGAAGCACTACTGAAGTGTCAGTGTCATTAGCGTCCATCACTACTTCTAACACACTCTGCTGAGGCTGCTGCTGCTAATGACATTGCCATGTCCAGCAGCAGCAGTAGTGATTGCTTCAATGCACCGCTGCCTTCGTTGACACTTGTCCACCACGGAGTGTGAGTCTCCTCAGACTGGACTAGCATCAAGTGGACTTCAAGATAGAGTAGGCAGATAGAGAGAGACTAAGAAAGAGAGTGTGTCAGGGCGAGGGTGTCATCCAGGACAACTACGTTGCTTTCTTATCTGTAGCTGCAAATGGAGCTGCAGATGCATCAGTTGACAGTTGTCCTCTGTCAAGAGAGAGATGAGATGAGCTGAGCTGTGTGATGCAAACAGCAGCAGCAGCAGCCTTTACCCGCAGATTACTCTTCAACGCCGTCATCCACTTACTTGCTCACTCACTCACTCACAGCTCATCTTCACACTCTACAAACACTTTAGATCATGTAGCTCCTTTGCTGCTGCTGCTGCTGCTTCGATGTGGAAGTAAGAGGAGTAAAGTAAAGTTAGATAAACACAACAGCTTGAACACTCCACTTTTAGCATCTTTTGAAAAGGATGCACATGCAGACTGCTCAGGTTCATCAACAGTCTAGTCCAGTCCAGTGGGAGGAATCGGCAAAGAAAAAGAAGAAGTGGAAAACTTGCGTAGGCGAACAGTGGTCTTAGAAGGTGGCAAAGAAGAAGAGGCTGGAGCCTGATAAAGGCAACGGCACAACAACATTTACATCTGTTTACCAGCTAGTTGATGGCTGTAAAGTGAGTGTGTGAGTGTGAGTTATCACTGTCACCACCACCATCATCAGTGTTTTTCGATGTGAAGTTGCTGTCGTACAACCGTAGAAAGAGACAATCTGCGAGGACAATCACGACAGCTCTTTCGGTGATTTATTGCTTTTATTGCGCGATATCGAGTAAGTATAAGCGAACATGTGCCCAAGAAGTGAAGGCACCGATGGCCTATCTTCTCCAGCTTCTTTTCAGCTCTTTCTTCAGCTCAAGTTGAAACAGAGTTGCAAGACGAAGATAGGCAGACACACTGCACCACCATCAAATGTGCTCCGATTACCAGATACATACACAGCACTTGAAATGGAAACACAGTGATCATTTCTTCGAGTTACATTCTAACAAGCTGTATCGTCTGGTGGTGCAACTACCAGCTATCAAGTGCCTTAGTTGCTGCTGCAGTTGCTGTCTCAACTGTCGCTGGTAGTCGACTCTGATCACACATCGAGTTTCGCCCACTCAAATGGGAAAACTAATCTGTAAACAGCGGATGGCGAGCGATGAAGAGGAGAGGGCTATCAAGTGCAGCTATCACACTACTGCCAATAAACAGTTCAGTAAAGTGAAGTGGTAATGGCATAGCACCACCACATCCACGACCACCATCAACGACGCAGTTACACAGAGCACCACCACCGCCACCATCAACAACAACAACAACAAAAACGTTTAAGTTTTTAAATTGGGAAATTGTACAAAACTTTAAATGAAAAAGCTCCACCAGCTAACCAACATAAAAACTTTAGCTTAAACACCCGAACACAATAGCAAACACAAAAAAGTAGCGAAAAAAGGTGCTAAAGTCCAAGGCGCCCCAAATCCTACAACGCCTCCTCCTGCTGTACAACACTGGTGACATGATCAACTACAACAATATCAAAAACAGCATGTACGGCGCGCTGGGTGGTGATAAGAGCAGTGTGGGCTCCGCCAACAAACATTTGTTACATTCGGCATCGGCATCGGCGGAGACAAGCTTGTCACGAGCACATCAACATCAACATCAACAGTCGTACAATCACAGTTTGCCAGTTGATAAGAACACAGAAATGGCAAAGAAAAGCCCCAAGACACTTGTTGGCGGCGCGGCGGACTAAAGTGAATTGGCGATTGAAGGCAATCAGAGAGTGGAAACAAAGACGCACTATACAGCAGGTACAAATAAGCGATCCTAAGTGAAGTTTAAACCAACAAACCGACAGCAGCAAACCCGGCGCCCTTAAACCAAACAGCAGCAGCAGCACTTGTGAGCACTCTGGTAGGACATGGTACGACTGATGATCAACACACGACACAACACAACAACTCAAGTCAAGTCAGTCATGTCTACGTGACAGGCAAAGTAGTAGACAGATCACAAGTGTCACTTGTGGGAGCACTGTTGTCCCACTAATCCTTGAACAAACAGACTGAGTTTGGGAGAAAGAGGGAAAGGAGGAGGTAACTTNTGATCAACACACGACACAACACAACAACTCAAGTCAAGTCAGTCATGTCTACGTGACAGGCGAAGTAGTAGACAGATCACAAGTGTCACTTGTGGGAGCATTGTTGTCCCACTAATCCCTGAACAAACAGACTGAGTTTGGGAGAAAGAGGGAAAGGAGGAGGTAACTTGGAGAACAGAAATGGCTGAAGATGAAAAGCAACCACTAGCAGGACCATCATCATCATCATCATCATTTGGCAATTAGAAGCAATGTTGGCGGCTATGATACGGCAGTGAAGATTAGTAATAAAGCTGCTCATTCACTCTTGAGTCTTGTCTTCTCTGAGCTTGTCATCTTTTAATGTGTCATCAACAGTGTTGCCTAATTCTGTACATGTAATGGCTCAATTGATCAATCTCAATGTATGGTGGTGGTGGTCTGCCTGTTTGTACAAATGTCGACAAGGGACGGAGTTTTAATACCTCAGCGCGGCAATGTCTACACAAAAACACACACTGATTGGCGCTATCAAAAACGAGGGATTAAGAAACTCTCTCGTTCTCTGTAACTGGAGAGTCTTAAGCCAAAGGAATGTCTGATGGAAAGAAAAGGGGAAAGGAAAAGGGACAATCAGACTGTCCCCGAGAGCTCATCATCATCATCATCATCATCATCATAATTTGACGTGTCTGACATTGTCCAACAGAAGACTGTTACACATTAAATCACAAAATCAAAAGTCACTATCACGGGAAAAAATTGGACGACAAGGGCTATATAATTAATCACAAGTGCGAGTTGTCTCAACATTAGCAACAGTCTGTGTGTGTTTAACTTAAGATGAGAGTGATCAAGGATGATATTGATTGCGTAGGCGCAGTTGATGATGTCCCAGTTGCAGCAGGCGTCCTGCAGACTGTGTTTTTAAAACAGTCTGAGTGCAGGTGTTATGTTACAGATGGTAACTGAATCGTAAGCTAGACTGCAAGTACTACTGGTACTACTGGTCATATAATTCTGAATGGTGGAAAAGGAGGAGGACAGGTCTACTGAGCCGTTAGACGAGTGGCGCCAGTCAATTTCCGTCAGGACTAGCTGGCTGACTGGCACTTCTGTGAAAGCACTACACCGTACTACTGTCCTTTTACTGTCCTTAGTGTCCCCAACTTTGTTTTCCCATTAGACTGAGTGGCTGACTGCTGGCTAATAAATGGACAGTGGACGCAACGGAGCAGCCAAGTGATGACTAGTGAAGACGGCTGCTTCAGATTCCACCCATCTCAGGTTACCGCTGTTTGAGTGCAAATGAAGACAACGCAGAAGAAGAAGACACTGGAGCACTTAGCAATGCTGCTTTGCTTCCTTACGCACACAGACAAACAGTCAGACAAAAAGAAGTCATAAAGCACACTTGAAACAGTACCCTCGGTAAACTCACTTCCACTACCACCACCACCTCTACTACTTCTAAATGATCACCATCAGCAGCACTAATCACCCCCAAAAGAAGAGAGATAGGGACACGAACAGGCAAAGGCTTACGCTAACGGTGACAGCACTCTTCTGCAGCTAACAGAGGCTAAAACAAAAGGCAGAATGAAGGCACAAGTGATCAGACACTCAAGTCAGAAGCAAATTACTCGAGCGTGAATACGCAAACACACACTGACAATTATCAACAAAATCACACTTTGTCAGAGTAAAGACATTAGCAAGAGCAGAAAAAGTAGAAGGACTACAGCTTCCGTCTTGATTGAGCACACCATTAGCTGCAGCAGCAACACTGAAGAAGATCAGCAACAGTGGACATCGATCAGCAGAAGCAGGACCAGCAGCGGGGTGACACCCTTAATTGCTCTGGCATTGAATTACAGCATTCCGTTTTCTCACTTTTAGCTTTGCTGTTTGATAAGTGAAGAAAAGGCAAATAACAGTGGCACTGACTTTTGCTAAAAAGAAGAGGATGAAGGAGCCATAAATCACGGCGATTCTTGTCAATAGAGTGCCAAGTTCATTGAACCAGAAAGGAGCCGAAACTTGTCAAGTTGAGTAAAAGGGGTAGCACATTTCTGCAATAAAAATGAAAAAATTAGAATTTTTAGCGCTAGTTTACACAATTTTTGTAACAATCATTCACAGACCGCTATTCACAATGCTTTCCTTCTCATATAAAAATCCTACAAAGATATTCAAAACAAACTGATCAAGTTTCAAACTTGGCGAACCTTCTCCTAGATGGCG